ACATTCATACCTTCTTCATGGGTAAAAGAAAGTGCTCAAAAACAATGTGGCAACTCACCCTTCTTACATTATTTCGGGTGGAGAGCAAATTTAGGAGGAATAAAGTTGCTTCAGCGTGACATCAAACACAAAGAGAGAATAAAGGGATCCTAATTTTTGAATGCATCTTTAGGGGTGGAAAAAAGACCTGCCTTTCTTTAAGAGTTCATTTTAGGACCTACAGTATTGTTTCCAAACAACTCCCTGAAAACATGTCCTGGGAGCTGCGCAAGGAGAAATATGATTTATAGCTAAAGTTCAGGTGCTCACAGATACTTAAAACTATGAATAATCATGCACACAGAAAAGTTCAGAACTATATAAGAAATGTGGAAATTGGAAGAGGATTGGAATCTCAGGTTAGCAGCCTTTATGAAAAACAAATGGGCTTTGGGGCATCCACTATCCAAAGTAAGTGTGCCACCAAAATCATTCCCCCTTACACAACGGGGGTTACAAGGCCCTTAGCAAAGAGGGGCCAGCCTATCCAAGTGCCCCTCTGGCCCAATTCACAATAAAGAAAACTTTCTGTTGCTTCAAGCAACAGCCCACTTTCTGAGGAAGGCCATGTTATTTAGGACCTGTTACCTTCTGATCGGTAGTCCCATTCGAGGGTGGCTTCCCGCCACTTCGGTATGGCTGCATAGCTGACGGCGACCAACAGCAGCAGCCAGAGAATCTGCTTCATGCTGCCTTGACAGCGGCAAGAGAAGGAAGACCGAATCAAAAGATCCTCTTTACATTCTCCGCAGAGACCTCACAGCCTCATTCCTGTTCTGCGTCCAACCCCACCCTTTTTTTCCTTGATGGCTCCCATATGGTCGCTCGTCTAGCTGGGCTGGTCACCAGTTTGTCATATCAGTGAGCAGAGAAAAAAAGGGGCGTCTCTACTTCTGTAGCCGTAGAAACACAACACTCATTGCATCCATTCACCAGTCCAAGTCCAGCTGGATGGAAATATTGTCCAGGGGTTTGATGATGTCATGTTGGAATTCGGATATCATCTGACTTATGACTGTCCTCTCTGTAGAAGGTCCCCATTTCCTCCATATGCCTCAATAGCTTTGAAACTTTGGGATCTTGCAAGTTAGAAAGAAGTGGAAGTGGGTGGACAGGAGAGAATAGAAGCTGTGGATCTGAGCAGGCAAATTGCTAAATCTTGCTAGTTCCTTATTGTTAGGATGGGGGTAGCTTAGGCTATGTCTTCATTGGATTGGACTTGTGTCAACCATGTAATCATGTTAATTCAGCAGTAGATAAGCACAATAAATAATATGGTTGCTATTAAGGGTGCTATCATATTGTAACACACCAAACATGAAGGGGAGAGGAAGAAAGAGATACAGCTGAAATCTCCCAAGACTGTAAACATTCATTTTTTCATTTCATTCTCACTTCCATTCTTTCCCCATGATTTCAGGCTAGCAGACTGGGCTAGCTATAGCCAGAGTCAGAGAGTGGCTGCTGCAACTACTTGAAGCTCCTTGTCACTTGGGGCCTGGGTGTTCTGCTTCTATTCCTCACCCAACCTCAGCTCTCGCCTCCTTTGTTCAGAATTGGTCCTTTTAGACCCTTCTCCTTTTGCATATAAATAGAGGCCGATTTGGGCCAATGGCTGGAACTAATGTCGGACTGCAGAAAAATAGAAAGGGACCAATTAAATCAAGGGTGAGCCAGGCAAGTAACGTGACCTAGACTGACATACAGTAGTCACGACTTTGCCATCTGAACCTAGATAACTATGTATCCTATTGTATATCCTATATGTGTTTATCTGTTCAAGACACTTTAATAGGAAGGAATTGAAAATGCGTTGAGAAGTTAATGCTGGCATGCAGGTTGTCACTTTCCAGAGGAATTAGATTCCAACTTTAACTTGCCAGCCAGCCTGTGATCAAGACTTTCAAAAAATATTTAATTAAAAAGAAACACACACACAACTGAATAAAAACTTTATTTACCTGCTGAAATCCTCAGATGGCAAGATATGGTGGTCATTCTTTCACATCTAGTTTGTTTTTTCCCCTTCAAACCAAGTTCTGCCTCTCTTCAATTTATAACATTGTCCTGAAATTTTGCCATTCTTCAAATTACAAACAGATCCTTTTGGACTGCTATAGGAAACACTCCGATCTGCAATTTACATCTCTGAAGGGATGGAGGAGGGGAGTAAGAGATTTGTGGGACAAATACTCCAAAGTACATTTTAGGTCATTAGCGCTTAAGAGTAAAGAGGAAAATTCTGTTTATTCATACTTTCTTTGATGAAGACAAGAAAAAGGAGCAGCTCAGGGAAAAAGCTGTCCACTCCAACTCCGCTGTGCACAATTTACACAGAAACTGTTTACAAAGGCACAAAACTGCAATTCCCCAGCATGTGTTTTCTTGGGAAATATGGACAACTGGGAATTACAAAAGGTAAATGACTTATTTCTTTTGAAAGTTAGAGAGAAATGTCCCGTCTTGTTGGCATTAGCTTTGCTGCTCTCCTCCCTCCCCTTGCTCTTAATGATATCCAGATAATGGATTTTTTTTAAGTGAGAAGAGCACATTCAGCATGGTTCACATCAGATAGCCAGATGGGGACATACGTCAGTCCCTTGTCGGTGTTTATGAGTCCAGATGGCACAATAGAGATAAGCCAAAGGAAAATGAATGGGAACAAAAAATCTATCTCCTGACCTACAGAGCACTGGTAGAGTTGGAAAAGACCACTTCATCCATTGAGCCACAGCTCAACTCAAGAGTTAAGAATCCAAATGAAAATATTCTTAACCAGATGGCTGTCTTGCAATCTGTGAAAGAAAGCCCATCATTTTTCTGGTTAATGAGCTCCATAGCCTAACAGCACTAAATTCAATCAAACTTTGTTTTTACTGCAACTATTCTTTGGTAGTTAGAATAATAGATCTTGACCTTCTTGGAAGGGATGAAATTAAAAATGTTTTGTCCCTGTGAAAGAAAACTTCCATTATACCTTGGAAGTTTGTCTGGGCTATTTCAGGGAGGGATGGCCAAAACCAAAAGCAAATTAGGAAAATCTTAAGGACACATCCATTGGATTCCTCTCTCTATATATAGAAACCCACATTTTTTCTCCTACAATCTGCATCCATCTGTCATACCAGCCCTAGTTCTCTAAAGCCATGTTGCTTTGGACCTTTTTTCTCCTACCCTAGTTCACATCTGAGAGGACCTTTGTGGTACAGGTCCATGCACAAGACATGCACACTTTGGGTCAGCTCACAGATACTACTGTAATTGATGCAAAGGATGCATGGAAGTCTTCACAAACTTACTTTTCGGCATATCATCTTTTGACATTTCTTCAGCATACCCCCATCCAAGACAAACATTTACAGCTCCTTCAAATTCTCTTCATTGGACTTAATGTTTCTAGTTCTTGCTCTTCTTGTGAAATACTTGTCTGAATTCTTTCAAAAACTCGTTTTTAGACCTTGATGCAATATTCAAGGTGTGATCTGACTAACACAGAATGAAGCGTAGCCAATTATTTCCCAGAATTTGGAAAATATTTGATTGATGCAGGCTAAAATTGTATTTGTTTTCTTGGAGCCACACCGTAAGCTGGACAGAGGCCTTCACTATTAAGACAAATATTTCAATGTTTTTCTTGAAAGGTCTATTATATATGTGGCTTCATCTATCCTATATCTGTGTATTTTTTCCTTGTTTCCCCCTAAGTTGAGAATTTTGCATTTGCCTCTTAAATTGGTATATTTAGCTGTTTCTATAACCCATCAAAACAATTTTGAATGTTATTTCTCTCTTGTAAGGTATTAATATCTCAGCAATGTTATATCCTCCATCAGTTAATCCAAGTCATTAGAATCATAGAATTGTGGAGTTTGAAGGGACCACAAGGGTTAACTAGTCCAATCCTCTGCAATGTATAGGAAAACCAATTAGCTTCTTCCTCAAGTGGTGTCAGTCCAGCCCCTTCCTAACAATATCCAAAGATGGAGAACCCATAACCTTTCTTGTGCCCATTATTTCTGGTCCTAGTTTATGTGGCAGCGGAAAGTAGTTCCTTTCATACTTCTAAATCATGATCAAGAAGGAGGTCAGAAGTATGTTAATCTTCCTACCAGCCATCATACATAAATGGCTCAGGTTTAGCCATTTGTTATCAATGGCTGCAGCCATTAATATGTACAACCCATTTCATATTCAAATAAAACCTATATTCTTGACTTGCCAGATTGCTAAAAACATGGATCCCAAATTTTGTGTTTTAAGATGAGATTTGAAATAATAGCTGACTGAACACATATACAGCAAGCACTTTAGAAATTAGATGTTGTTGGGACTTGAAGTGAATCACCATGACATATATACCGTATTTTTCAGAGTATAAGACACACTGGAGTATAAGACGCAACAAGGTTTTGAAGAGGGGGAAAAAGTTTTTACACTCTGCAAACCTCCCCAAAACGGCTCGTTCCCCCCTGCCCCCAAAAGGCATGAATAGTCTTTAGGGAGCTTGCAGAGTGCTCCCGGGGGGAGGGGGGGGACAAATAAAAAACAGCCTGTTTTTTGTAAAAAAAAAAAAGGCCTGGATAGCCTTTAGGAAGTTTGTAGAGTGCTTCTGGGGGCTGGGGTAAAATTGAGCAAAAAATGGGCAATTTTTCACTCATTTCTGCCCTCCCCAGCCTCCAGGAGCTCTTCAAAATGTTCCTAGAGGCTATACACGGCCATTTTGATGAAGGGGGTGGGTTTTTGGGAGGCACAAAATGCTGTATTCAGTATATAAGATGCACACAGATTTTCAGCCTCTTTTTTGAGGGAAAAAGGTACATCTTATACTTTGAAAAATACAGTATCAACGTTAGAACAATGCATGAATGGTGGTCAGGAGAAATGTTTGGGGCTCAAGGGATGCATAATTTCAAAACGAGTAGAGGGCAAAGTGGAGAAAGCAACAAAAGGACCCAAAGTCATCATTTTGGATGCTTTTAATAGGTTTTTATTTGCAGGGCTGTTATTCAGTTAAGTCCAGTCCAAACCAAACATACACCTCTGCAACCCAAAGAACCAAGAAGAACAGCAAGAGCGGCTACAGCCCATTGAGCTTGAGAAATCTAGTCAAAATGCAAACCCAGGAAACAAAAGTCACACGTCCTGCCAGCAATAACTAGGACCAGAGAGGGTGTTTATGAGCCCCAGCTACAACTGCCTTGAAAGGCAAAGACCGCATCCTTCACAGCTAGTGTTTGGAAGCCAGTCCTATGTGCCCAGAATGAAAATGGGAGCTGGGACGGAGGCACATTTTTTTGGTGGTGACGAAGACCTAGGAATATAAACTATGGAAGGGCAGAAATAAAGGCTGTATGTCCACATAACCAGAGAGTTGACGTGAAGGGCGTCTTTCTCTCTAATATTGCAAGGTTCGTCAGAGTAATTATATAGGCTTGCTATGCAGACTACTTCTGCAAGGGGAATCAATTGTGACTTAACATAAAACAGTCCTAGCAGAGATACTGGGAATTTTGGATAATGGAAAAAAAAAAAGAAATCTCAGGACACTTTTGAATGGAGGAGCCCAGGTATCAGAAGAAATAAGGAATAGGAGGCACAGCTAATATATGATTATGAGAACAGTAGGCAGGGTTGTGTTCTAGAGGCAAGGCCATTTCTATTGCAGTCACTATGTTCTAGAGGCAAGGTAATTTTTACACAGGCATTTTAGTGAGGTAAGACAAACTCCCATTCCAATATATGCTCTATTTAATTTTGTTGTGCTGATCCCTGTGTACTCATTAGTAGACATGAATAAAATGCCTAGATATTTTGCCCGATCATACCTTTGGATCCCAGGAAATTGCTTTAAATATAAAGGGAAAATAGTGCATGGAGACTTGGTACAAAAACTGCTTGTGAACTGTTGCTTTCCCAGTCCTGACACAGCTGGAATGAAGCTGCTGTAGGGTTCCAAACCTGGAAGCGACAGGATATGCTTCCCGTTGCCAAACCAGGATGAAAATCATCATCTCTCTTAGCTAACCATAGATGAGGAATTCTGGGAATTTTAATATGCTGCCATTAGGGATGTAGGGCAAGAAATGGAGGAAGTGGCAACCAGAAACATCCCTGCCTGGTTGAAAAAGATGATCTTCCCCCACTCTCCAGTGCCGTGGTTTAACCTGGGGCTTTAAAGCCACAGTATGCCCTGCGATCACACGTCACTCAAGTTGAAGCTATAATGAGAGAGTGGACCAATGTGGCTCAGGCACCAGTGAGCCAGAAACTCTGGGGCTAAATGCAAAGCATGTCAAGAGAACAACATTACACAAGCTAGCCCTGGGGGACCAAGTCATCCCTTCAACACTACTGCCTAGCCTCACTGACAAGCTTAAGGCGGGGAAAGCTTGTGGCATGCAAGCTAACAGGGCGACAACGGCCACACCGCCATGAGCCCACAGAGCTGATCAGCCACCTGTGCGACTTCAGCTCAAGGGAAGCAGGACCTCTGGCTTTCTACAATACTGAGAGCAAAGAAAAGACAAGGCAGCACAGTGGGGCCATCTTATTTTTTTCCCACTGGGACATCCTGTTCCAACTGCAAGCTGCCACCTTGTAAATGGCAATTGAATACCTGTGATATGGGTCCTTTCCCCCCTTTCTTGTCTTGCCCCGCCCCACACAGTACATTGTCCCAGGAGGAAGAACAGTCCTGCCGGGCTAAAGGTTTGCCTCTGTATTTCTGCCAGTTGGTCTGTAATGGCTGCCCCGATGCCAAGCCAAAAAGGGCCTAGCTCCGTGGGAGGCTACACATCTCGCAATGATCTGTGCCTGGTTGGTTCATGAAGGTGCAGTGCTGACAGGCCCACATTGAAGAAGTTGTTGCATGTGTTGAAGTGCCCATGGCGCCATATTCTTGGAGTCCTGGCAACTGAACACCCACTGTGCCTGAAAAAATGAAATGGAATAATTAGGAGACGGAAAAAGCTCCAACAAACAGAAAACATTTTTTGCCTAGAAACTTTACAAATTGCTAGATAATTTCTAGAGTAAATGCAATCTTCCCTTAGGAAAATTCCCATTTCTTGGCACAACACTGTCTAATTCTTTCCACAGATTTCTACAACTGTATCCTCTAAAAACTCTTCCTTTCTTTCCTGCATGAATTAAATCACCCCCTCCTTCTCTCTCTCTCTCTCTCTCTCTTTATCTATCTATCTATCTATCTATCTATCTATCTATCTATCTATCTATCTATCTATCTATC